TCGTCGATCGTGTAACTATTCTCATCGATCGTCTAATCTCGTCGATCGTGTAACTATTCTCATCGATCGTCTATTCTCGTCGATCGTCTCATCGATCGATCGCCAGAGGGCGCTGCGGTAGCACATTGGCCTATCACATGACTATCAAAATGGCAGACAACAAAATGATTGCTAGTGAAATAAGAACATTTTCTCAACAATTTCAATTTTAGTTGTTAATAATTAAAAGATATTCGGTTGTAGGGACATTATTTTCTAGTTGTGCTTAACTCTGACCATGGCTGGCCGAGTTAAAAATTACCGCGTGATTGACAGACAGAAGCACGTGTTGCTACCGCAGCGCCCTCTGGCGATCGATCGATGAGACGATCGATGAGAATAGTTACACGATCGACGAGATTAGACGATCGACGAGAATAGTTACACGATCGACGAAAACAGTTTGACGATCGACGAGATTAGTTACACGATCGACGAAAATAGTGACAGCATTGGTTTTAATACACCATAGATGAGAAATGTTTGACAATTGAATTGACGAAAGTAGATGTTGAATTTATGACAGGATCGTTTAAACTTGAAACTGAATCGATGGGAAGGCAGTGAATCGACGAAACATAACTGAATCGACGACATGAATTTTTGCCCTCTTGGCCGCCCATAGCCAAGGCTCGGACGCTTAGGTGAAGTCTAGTTGTAAAGCGCATCGTATCTAAACTGAGAAAGAAAATATTTAATTGCTTGATTCTCCGTCCAAATAGCTGTTTCTTGCCTACAGTTTACGCATTTCTGTGCTTCAGCCACCTTTTTAGTTTGACAGAAAGCAATGCACGCTTCATACGACCTTTTTATATGCGCACCTTGTACATCATCTACACCTAGCATAGCCATGCTGGAAACAGCAGAGGACCACTATGACCCCTGTGGCGCGCGGTTCCTGTCATGCGCACTTCGTATTTCCGCAAAAGATGAAAAAGCCAGTGATTACAATTTTATTCAGTGACAAGAATTTAAAGTTCTTTCTCTGAGAGACTGAGACAATTATTTTTTCATTCATGTACATTGACATAATAGAAATGTGACATAATGAGAAAGGAATGGGTGTCAAGGGATAAAACTCATCTTACACCATTGATTAACCACAGAATTAGAAGTATGGTTTGGTTGAGATTTTAATCTTCGTTTTCATTGTGCTAAGACAATTTTCCATTAATGTTAACCTCTTGGGCATGCAGAAAGTATTTAGTCAGTGAATTTTTTTTTTTTTTTTTTTTTTTTTTTTTTTTT